TGCGGTGGTCGGATTTGGTCGGGTTGGTTCGTTGTATTGTTTCAAAAGTAAAGACAATAGCTCAGGTTCAGGTTAATACATGAAAGGTTCCAGTGGTGAGAACAGAGGTGGTGAAGGTAGCTTCTCTGGATAAAGAGAGAAGAATCAAGCAGTTTGAAATGACTCTTATTGGGAGAGTGTGGAACCCTATGTTCCAGAATATGGATTATCTTCTGCATAACATGCCAAAGTTCTAGCATCTCTAGGATAAGGTTATTGGAGCTGACCTTGGCGAGGGCAGATTTCATTTTAAGTTTCAGTCAGAGGAGGATATTAAAGAGGTGTTGAGGAACGCACCGTATCACTATGACTCATGGATGGTGTCTGTTGTGAGATGGGAACAAGTGGTAGCTGATGAATACCCTTCGGAGATAACATTATGGGCTCGAGTAAGCGGTCTACCTTTGCAATACCGGGCAGCAGGATCACTATGGGCTGTGGGTAAGGTTTTAGGTAACGCTAGTGACGTGGACAAAGATTCTGGCTATATGAGGGTTACAGTTAATGGATTTAATCCCTTAGTATTTAACACCATTATCCCATTTGATAGTGGAGATGAGGTCAAGGTAAACATTAACTATGAGAAGTTGGCTAAATCTGTGCGCAGGTGGTGTTGGGACGAGAGAGGAAATAAGAGACTAAACAAGGTTTGGGAGCTGGTTCTGGTCAGAATGTGGAAAAAGGATGGGAAGTGGTAAGAAAGAAATCAGTCAAAAGAGCTTTACCTATGACTGATTTTGGCTCCAAAGGGACAGAAGGACATACAAGGGTCGAAGGCAGAAATGGTGGTTCTAATAATCAAGGTCTGGAGAATACAAAGTTCTCTTACAAAGAAGGGAGAATTGGGAGGAAGGATGGTTACCGAACTGGTGCTTGGGAAGGATATGCTCGAGGTAGTAAGCACATGGAGAATGGGTATAGGGTTAAAGAAAACAGAGCTCCCTCATACGGAAGAGGCAGAAGCTCGATGTGGCCTACACCGTTATACCATACTCAAAATGGTGTAAGTGGTTCAAAGGTTGATGGAACGGGTAAAACAGGGCCCCAACTCCAGGAGGTACCTCTAGTTGATGCGGCTCTAAAGGGAAAAGAGAAAGAGGTTTCTGTGATCGATTGAGTGGAGAAGACGATCTGCTCTTCGGAGGAAATGTTGAATGGGACGATGATGACCTGGTAGCGGAGGATGGGGAGCTCACGATGGAGGATTATGATATTGAGAATCATAGTAGTTTGCTCACGGAATTTACAAATCAGGAAGTGAATGGTGTCGAAAACTCAGCAGGTAACACTATGGACCCTATAACTAAGGATGTTGGTATTAGCTCTTTAAATAAAGTGCTATCGAGTTGTTCTTTAGAGGTTTCAAAAGTTTCAAAAATGGGAAAACGTAGTCATGTGGTTCTTAAAGGAATAAACAGTAGAAAGAGGAATTTGATGTTTGTTTGTTTCTCCTAGAAAGAGCAATGGGATTAAATTGGCTGTATCGAAACAGGTTACTTCGGAGGCTCGCAAGACAAATGGCGATATGGTGGAGTTCCAGAGGAGGACGGAGGCTACGGGACGGCGTATGATCAGCAAAAAACCAGGGATGGTGGCTCTCCTGAACCTACCGGCTAAAACG